CCTAATAAATTTATTCACAAATTGTCTTAGTCCAAAGGCATTATTCGTCGAATACATTTGTTAGGAGGTGGATATATCTCAACCCCTAGTTTAATGTCGACATAATAGCTCGTTTCTTTAGCATTTGAGAAGTTTTGTAGTAAACGCATATATTCGAATATTACAGGTATTCAAAGAGTCGTAAACAAGCTTCTGAACCTAAATGAAGCTTTTATCAGATCAGAAGTGGGATCAATTCGTAATTCCGCAATGTCAAATTGTGTATATTGACCTGAATAAGGTACCTACGCCAGTCAAAAGATTTTAACTAAAAATTACATCGTTTCATTAAAATCTAATTCAACGACAGAGTTATGAAAAAAACGTAGATGCGGAGAAAGTAATAATAGCACGCCGAATTGCCGTATTTACACAACACAATTACGCACAATATGAAATTATGGGAAAGATACCACTTTCCAAAAACCATTCTATCGAGTTTATTACCGCGGTAGGAGATTACTTTCAAGCAGCATCCTTTGTTGTAACGGCCGAGCCATATTTCCTATGCTAAATTTTGATTAAAAATTAAATTGTGAGTGGCCGGGTGCGTGCTTTTAGAATGAAAGAAATTGCGCGTAGATTAATATTTAGTTCAAATAAGTTCATTACGTTAAATGCTGTACCTAAGTGGAAAGTTAAACGGGCATGAAAGCGATATTGTTATTGCGTGTTCTTAGCTTGTAAATGAGCTAACAACTGCAGCATCGCTTTAGATTATCCCACGGTACACTCACAAAGTTGCTTTGTTGATCCATGATTTATTGTTTGAAACTTCTCCAAGTGCAACTTACTATCGCTGTTTCCACAACTACTGTTTTGCTTTGCATAGTGCTTATATTAATGTTCGTTTAAGTGTAATGTGGTTTAACGGTGTATAGTGCACATCATCTCCTTGATTGCAGCAACTGCGACAGTGACAGTAATTTGCGGAATATTCGAGAACATTGTTGAAAATAGATTTCCGGAAGTTCTACCTCTGTTTATAATTGGGACGAATCAAAAGTTATAGGCAAAAAACCAATTTCGACAAAAAATTCAAAGAGCTACAACTTTTCATCTAGGAGCTCAATCTTCAAATTGTTTGAAGTTATGGATTCTACAGGCCAAAATCTATAAGAATTCCCGGTCGATTTCAGACAATTCATTTTTCCGTCGTTTCCGTGAAATCCTAGCGATTGTCGGTGCTGAAATTCGATAATTAAACTAGTTATGAAAAGGGCCCATCTGATCTAGATTTTTAGGTTAGTATTAGCAAACTTCACCTGAAAGTGAATCTGCCACTGCCAAAATTTCCGTAAAGTTATTTCACTTTTGACTTTCATGAAATAACTTTCAGCATGTAAAACGGGCTTAAGAGTTTAAAGAAATCCTTTTGTGTAAGGTGAGACAAAGAGACGAGAGTGCCTCAGATGATGTTGATGACACATAATACTCGACCTCGATGGCAATTGGGCTAAATAATATAAAGCAAACATTAGCCCAATAAAAATGAAGAGCAGTTAAGCTGTGAGATATAATAATAAAAAACGCGTTGACACAATATGACACCCCATAAAATGGAATCCAGCGAAAATGGACAGTTTTTGCGTATTGTGAAGACACTAAAATGCGGAATACAACACGAAAACTTTTTTTAAAGATTATTTATATCAGATATAATTCAGAATTTTATTTGCAAACTTCGTCACTTGACGAATGAAAAGATTCATGCGTGTAGCCCATTTTTTATACTTTGGTAAAACTTTATTGTGCGATTATATTCAAACTTACGCAAACTTCTGTGACCTAAATACTTTATACAAATTTGAATTAAATATGTCGAAGTAGCTACACTGAAAATTTAATAGCATTACAGCCTGCGGGTCTATTTTTATCGCCTTTTCTTTACTTTAAAGGACGACGTCGGTTTTTAAGCTAAATTTTATAACGGGACCGGCGCCCGTAACTTAACCGTTTTTAACCGTAAAGCAGTTTTGTAAAACAATTAGGACTTTATGAATATACCGTCGGGGAATAACCCTTAAACACAATATTTTGTCAGTCATAAAATGAAGGATGCGGCTTAATATTTTATTATTTTTACTACAACCCCTAAAATTATTCATTACACACCCCTAGCTTAATTTGAAATATTAAACGTGTTCTGAAATTTTAATTACGTACAAAGTTTAGGAAAATGTTTTCTACCTTTTCGAGCGTAAACTGCGTTATATTTCGGAAGGATTTACGTAATAAAATAAAGACATTTTCAAAGAAGTTTTTTTATGACTAAATTGGGACCTTTGATTAAGTTACAGGGAGGTATCAAATTAGTGTTATTTTTAAAGGGAAGCACATGACACTCAAGCGACGTAGAAATCTTTATATTGAGATACCATATCTTCTATATTTTTGGTTGGTGATTAGTGATTACAATGTGCTTGATGTGCACGGCCAGTGGTCGTTTGAAAATGACTTACAGCTGAATTGGTGGTATAGTAATGCTACAATTATCTAAAGAACACATGGTACCAAATTGTACAAGCATCTTGGGCTGTAGGGGGGTAATTATGGATTGACAGGGGGGGAAGGCGTGTTTTTGACCACAATCATTTTAAATAATTAAATCGCTGAAGAATAGACATAATTTGTCAGGATGATTAATTGTAATAAAATAACTAGTTACAAAACAATGATAAAGTAAGTACTTACAACAAGGAATCAAAATCAAACTAAACTTGACCTGAAAGTTGGCAGCGGATGATCGTACCTGCAATTAGAAAATAGTTCTCTGAGCAACCAGTCAACCCAACATGGATGACTACAAATAATACTGACTGTCAATTACTATACTCTCTATGGAAAACTTCCATAATATAATCTCAATAATCATAGGAGAGTTCTAATCTTTCGTCATTAGATTGGACTTCCCTATTTTCGATATTCTATGAGAGTTCTATTTAATTCTCGTTATATTATAGTTACTCATTCTCGTTATTAAATTAGAGTTATCCATTCCCTTTTGGCTGTGCAGTGGTGTTGGGGGATTAAACGCAATCGTCAAAGTCCAGGTCAGACCATCACCCTGCTCAACGTGTGTGGTAGGTCCTGGGTTCAAAGACGCAACCCTCCACCAACCAAAAGTGCCACAACAACTAGCATAGAGTGTGCAATGGTATTAGGGGATTAAACTCGACCGTGCATGACGCAACCTAGAACCCATCATCACTACGTTTTAAGTGTTAACAAGTCCTAGGGGATTCAACGCAATCGCCATTCACGATATCCTAATACCTACCCTAAGTACTAGCCTGGAACCGTGCACAGTTCCATCAACAAAACACTGTCGAGGGGATTCAACGCGCCTCACAGTAATCAACAACAAGCAGCGTGGAATAGATTACGCCAACCAATAATTCTACCTGGTTTATGCATAAACTGTGGTACCATATTTGTATATCAATTTCATAATGAACGCTAATTAAACATGCTTTGTAAAACTGAATTGCTCTGTGAGATTCACTCACCTATTCTCCAAAAGAACACAGACACTTAATCACGCACTGTTCACTCACTACTGCTAATTAAACATGCTTTGTAAAACTGAATTGCTCTGTGAGATTCACTCACCTATTCTCCAAAAGAACACAGACACTTAATCACGCACTGTTCACTCACTACTAATACAATTCCAATAAATACGCAGCTACTGCCCATTTGTATAAAAACCAACTGCCTGTTCCTTCATCCCTTCCTTTAATTAAAACAAAGTAGCGAACGTGACTGATTTATAGTTCCATTCGTAGAACGAAACATATTTTCAAATGTTTACAAATAACCCAAAAATAATATCATATTACCAATAGTCGCCTTTCGGGTAGTAAATTGCGTGAACGGTGTTACGGATGAATGACGTTATGCCGTCTGGGGTTTAGGGATTAAGCAAAAAATCGACGGTCACACTCGATAAAAATTATTTT